CCTGCTGCTTAGAGGAAGGGAGGTACCTGCTCAGGGCTAACAGTGCCCTGGGGAACCCTGGTCCACACAGGTACCACTTTGGGTGGCTGGCCTTGGAGGTGAAGCTGGAGCCAGAGTTCAGGGAAGAGAGGGGCTGGCAGAGACAGAGGAGGGGCTGACTGGAGTCTGGAGGGGACAGAGGAGGTGCTGGCTGGGTACTCTGTGAGCAGTCCTGGTGCCACATGAAATCTAGAGGGCTTCCCAGAGGAGGTGGAGGAGAGGAGCACCTTCACAAACTTCGTCCCCCTTTTAAAGTGAGGCTCAAGATTCTGCCTGTGGCCTCTGCAGTTCCATTTCCATCTAAAAAGGTATTCTGGGTAATAGCTTTACCCGCCCTCGTCTGACCCCCCACCTTCTTCAATCAGACACATCATCTCCAAAGGGCCGTGGACCTCCCACGCCCCCACATCTTCCTCCATTCTGCAGGGCCTTCCATGCAGTGAAGACAGCCCAGGTCCTGATATCAGCGAGGGCCCCCTCATTGCTCAGAGGCTCTCCTGGCGGTGATGGACCACAGAGACCCTAGACATCACAAGTGTCCCCTTGACTGCGCGGACCCTGTCCCGCTGTGCTGGCAACACAGGGCTCACCTGTAACAGTTGTTGGTGAATTTGTTGTAACTAGAGAAGGCGATCAGCACCCCAAACCCAACGCCCAGCGAGAAGCATATCTGAGTGGCAGCATCAATCCACACCTGCAGGACAAGGCATCAGGGAGGGGTGGGAGAGGGAGGGAAGTGAAGGGGGAGGGGAGAGCCACAGGGAGAGGGAACGGGGCGGGCAGGCCGCTGCTGTTAGAGATAATTGCCAGTGGCGCATGCATCCCCGAGATGAAGGATGGAGTGCACACAGGTCATTGCGCCCTCCTGCTGCCTGCACGTCCGTCCACAGCCCGCCCTGGGACTGCTCTGTGCGGCTGCGGTGCTGCAGGCCCTGGGGACCACGGCTGTGTCTCCCTGGACGCCGTTCTTGTGAACACGGTGTGAGTTTAAGCTCAGGGTCATCCACAAGCAAATGGCGTGTTCATGTGATCAGTGGCAAGTGACATCCCAGGGAGAGACCATTTTCTGCCACTGGATGGAAGGAGCTTGGTTGGAAGAGGCAACTTCCTTTGTACGTTCATGGTGGCTTACTCTCCGAACAGCATGCTAGTTCCACATATCAGCTGAAGGGTTATCTGGCTCATTACCCTGGCAGCAGTGCTAATTTACTAAAATACTACCCACCCACCCACCATCCATCCATACACTCACCTGTCCACCCACCCACCCATTTAGCAATACATCCATTTCTAAGGTACCTACCTTCAACATACCGACCTATCATCTACCTACATACCCTCTACACGCCTACCTACCTACCCTCTACACACCTATCTACCCTTTATACACCTACCTACCTACCCTCTATATACCTACCTACTACCTTCTGCACACTTATCTACCCTCTATACACCTATCTACCTTCTACCTACCTACTTATCTACCCTCTACACACCTACCAACCCTCTGCACACCTGCCTTCCTACCTATGACCCACCTACCTCTCTGCCTGTTGTGTTGTTAGTTGACTTCAAGTGGGTCTTTGACTCCAAGGGACGCAGCGGGACAGAGCACAAGTATCTCAGAGGGTTTCTCCGAGTCCCGCAGTGCTCCCAGGGACAGACCATCAATTCTTCTCTCCCGCCGGGTGGGTTTGAACTGCCCATCTTTGGGGTTAGCAGGCACCTATTTTACTGCTGAGCATCGGGACTCCTTCTGTGTCTTACCTACCTACCAATCCTCTATCCATCCCCACTGATGGCCTGACAACTGATCTAGCCACCACCTCTTTGCCCATCTAGCTACCTCTCTGATTGTTGACAACCCCCCGTCTTCTCTTTTACTGCCAGACTCAGAGATTTGAGGAGGCCCCCTCCTTGCCGTGTGCTCTCCTGGGCTTCTGCGGTGAGCAGCCTCTCACCTGGCCTGGGTTCTGCTCTGCCTCATCCTGAGAGCTGCCTGTCCTTACTCCTGGCTGGAGCACTGCTCGCTCACTCGTTAATCTTCTTTGATCTCTATAAATGGCCCATCTGGGTCTATGACACACACCCACATCCACGTCCCCTGGGCTCTTCTCTGGTCTCTCCCGAGCACTGTGGTCTGCTGGCTCCCCTTGACTGGGACCCCTGGGCTCTCTGCTGAGCTCACCCTATGGCTCCTTGGGCCAGCCAGATCTCCTCACCTCCATGAGGAAGCCCCAAATATTTCAACCCTGAATTATTGCTATGTTCTCAGAAGCAATCTACAGCCCAACTGCAGATGCAGGTGTTTGTCACATTGGATTTGAATCTCTCTCTTGCTGTGTCGTGGGCCTTGTGAGTGTCTCCCATTAAGGTTTTAGGCTGCCTGAGGAGGGGACCCTAGTGTATGCCACTCTGAACCGTCTCAAGAGATCCCTGGTGGTGTAGTGGTTATGAATTGGGCTGTGATCCATGAGGTCTTCAGTTCGAAAGCACCAGGAGCTCCCGGGGAGAAAGATGGGGCTTTCTACTCCCTTAATGAGTGACGGCCTCAGAAGCCCATGGGAGCCGTTCGATCCTGTCCTAAAGGGTCTCCAGGAGTTAGGACGGACTCGGTGACAGTGAGGCTTTAAACCTTTTTGATCAACAACCTCTCAGCTTGGCTCCAATGGTGGGCATGCCCACTAAAGCCCGTTGGTACTACGTGGGTGAGGACTGATGTTCTATGCCCCAGTTGGGCAGCCCCATCAGTACTGATGATGGAGAACCGGAAAGCATCCCTCCCAGAAGCTGAGCACGTTGAGGGGAAGCAGGTGGAGGTAAGGTCCAGGTGGTTCTGACTGACAGCAACCTTCTCTTGCTGGAGATGGGGAGTGGAGGACCCTGCTCCCCGGACTCCTTAGCCTGCATTCCCCCGGGCTTCTTACTGCACAGCCTGGCGCTCAGGCCAAACCACACTTGCCGAGTTGGCAGGGGAGGGAGGAGTTCCCGGAGAGCTGCTCCCTTGGGGATCTCCTGCCCCATCCCATTGCACCGGCCTGGGCTGCCCAGGTGAGCAGACAGCGAGCACACTCACCGAGGCCTCGCAGAGCCGGTAGAAGTCGACACTCAGGTACGCCCGGATGCCGTCGATGGCTCCAGGTAGGGTGACCCCACGCAGAAGCAGGGCAGTGAGGACCACGTACGGCATGGTGGCCGTGATCCACACGACCTAAGGGAAAGAGAGGGCAGTGTTACCAGGCTGTGCCAGCCATACACTGGCAGGGTCCTCGGCTGGAGAGGGTGCTGGCGGGGCGTGAGCACAAGAGCCACCAGAAAGCTTAGTCTTCAGAGAAAGAGGTGGCCTTTGATGGTGGAGCCTGAGTACCCCACAGCACCCCACAGGTCGCCAGCTCCACAAATGTCCCTTCCGCGCCTCGTGTCTCAGACACCTTCCCCGGAGATGAATCCAAGGAAGAGCAATGAGGTGGGAGGGGAACATTCCTTTCGGCCTTTGTTCGGATTTCCAAGAGAGACAAGAGTGAGTTTGTACTGACTGTCCCCCTCGGAGGTCCATAACAAGGTGGATTCTGGGGTAAAAAGGAAAGAGGGAGGAGGAACCTGCCCTTAAGATTGCCACAGGTTGGCACTTCCTTATGGGTATTGTGAGGAGCCACGGACACACCGGGTCAAAATTGGATGCCCAGATACACCCGATGGATTCTGAGCAGTGAGAATTCCATCATGTGCTCTGTGTGAGCACTTCCCACTTTGAGACACTCTCCTGACCACACAGCCATGTGCCCACAGCCCAAACTATCCCAACCCTGACCCAAGCAAGGGCCCTGTGTCCACTCCTCAACCCAGCCAGAGCCATTTCCCCAACTCAACCGTGACCCACATACCCACTCCCCAAAGCACCCCTACTCATGGGCCTACCTTCCCAGCCCACTCCAAGCCAGCTCAGCCCATGAATTCAACTCCACTCCCCACCCAACCATGGACCGCCTGTCCACTCCCCACCTCAGATGCAAGCCCCTGTGGCTACTCCCTGCCCTGGCTAGCCACCGCCCCTGTGCACGCCCCTCAACCCACTCACAGGCCAGGCGTCCACTCCCCGCCACCCCCCATGTGCACACCCCACATCCGTTCCCACCGAGTCGAGCCCAGCCCCCTCACCTTCCCAGAAGTCTTCACTCCCTTCCACAGGCTGAAGTACAGCAGCACGATGACCAGCACCAGGCAGGCGGTGAGCTGCCACTGCGGAGGGCCCAGGTCATCGATGCCACGGCTCTGGTGGAGGTGCAGCACGCCCCGCCTGGAGAGGGCGGGTGGAGAACCAGGGCATCACTGGAGGTTCAGGGGGGCTGCCTGCCCTCCCTCCCGGAACTGGTGGGGACTGAGGAGCTGAGCTTGCCCAGAGAGGCCCGTTACCCACCTCCGCATGACAGGAAGTCCTCACCCTTGGCCAAACCGGAGACACCACCCACCCAAAGGGCTGCTCTGTCAATCCCCCTGGCCTTTGCTCTCTCAATTAGGGGGTGGGGTTGAAGGGGTCCTTGACACTGCCCCCCAGTAACCTCTCGTCTTGGGATCTATGGGTCTTCAAAGAAAGGCGCCGTTAACAACCGGGCCCGCTCAGTGATGGGGATGTGATCATGCCGGGAGGCCCTCCATAGTCCCGCTCCCCTTTGCAGGCACCGGGGCTAAGCAAGCTCTGGGCAAGAGTGCAGGAGGCACCGGCACCCGCCCGCTTGCTGAAGGCAACAGCTCACAGCAGGGATCTCCCTGAGCCCCCTGCTGGACGGGACTGAGTCCCCATGCCTCTGGGACTTTGCTCTGGGTTAGACCAAGACCCACTCACTGCCCCACCCACCCTTGAAGTATGACATCCCAGAGGGCAGACTGGCAGGCTGCCAGCTGACCTGCCCTGGGCACCAGAGTTTGAGGACCGGTGTACATCCTCTCATTCAATCCTTGCAACAACTGACGGGAAAGGTCGTGTCACCGTCCCTGCCCCCGGGAGCGAGCGTGGCAGGGCTGTTGCCCTCGGGAGCATGCAGCTATCTCCTTGGAAGACCTGGACCGTGAGCTCAAACAGACCCCAGTGACCATGCTTCCACTGCTAAGTGGAGGGTCCGCCCGACCACAGGATCCCTCCGGCACAGGTCTGCTGTGAGGGTGGCTCAGCTGCGGTCCCCAGGAAGTCACACCACCAGCCACTGCAGAATCTGGGGGGCCCCTGAGTTTCTCCCCCTTCGGGGGCTAGGTATGGCAAAACCCCAGCATCTCCACTAGACCTGCCCAGGCTCCGGGCTCTGAGCAGGGGAAGGAACTCCTACTCCAGGTTCATCGCTCCCATCTCACCCCAGCACCAGACACAGCCCAGCTGGTTGGCTAGGTGGGCAGACTGATACACCATTCCAGGGGTCTCTGTTCTGTGTGTGTGTGTGTGTGTGTGTGTGTGTGTGTGTGTGTGAGAGAGAGAGAGAGAGAGAGAGACCCAAGAGCCTCCCCTCTGAGCGCCCACTGTGAGGTGTGCAGAGGTAGGGGCTCAGCTGGAGAGACCACGGCCAGGGCCCACACTCAGCAGGTGCCTGCTCTACTCAGGGGTGCTCCTGGGGACCGTGCTGCCCTGAGGGGCTCTCTAAGGCTGTATCCTTTCCTCTCCTGCCTCAGACCTGGCTGCAGCTCTGCCTTCAAATGTCCCCCATGGACATTTGACCTAGCCCGGACCTTGTGACCTCGCCCTCCTCCCCCCGCCCCCCAAGAGAGACAAGTCTCTTTGGGAAAAGCCCTGTGGCAAGCGAACCAGGCTCCCCGCTCTGCGGCTGCCGACCAGCAGCCTCGGGGACCTCCTACCTGTGCATGTTACCTGAACCTGACATCTAAGGGCCACGCTCCCTGGGTCTGTGACAGAAAGACACCATCTGAGCTGAGGGACGTGGGTCCCAGTGGATGCTCCCCTGCCCTCTGCCCTCGGAGATGGCGTCACGAAGCTGCACACACACAGGCTCCACTAGGCTAGATTTCAAATCGCTGTTAGAGTGAGACCCTTGTCTTTACTGGTTTGACGGTTTCCCCAGAGGTAGACGCTGTCCTGCTTTGGCCACAGTGGAGAGGACTTCCTGAGCCAAGTTGGACCAACACACTTCTGCCCCTTCTCCATGAAAGGGCGTCTGGGCAAGGTCCTTGAGTTGAAGCACAGGGACCCCTGGGCCCATAGTCTGGCAGGGATAGAGCAGATCCCGGGAGATGGGCACCATCTCAGATGAGCAGATGGCATGGGATGGCCATCTGCCTCGGGAAAGGTAGGGCACTTTGTTTTCGTGGGGCTCCTTCTCCAGGTGAATATGTGATTCTTCCATTCAGACATTGTTGTTGTCTGGTGCTGTTAAGTCCGTTATGATGCAGAGCAATAGAACAACAGACCAAGTCCCGTGTCATCCTCACCACATGGGGCTGTGAATCATTCGAATGATTTGCGTTCCCACCAGCCGAGTAGAACACTTGGGGGGTCACTTGGGGGAGTGTGCTATGGTCACCAGAAGGGCCAGACTTCAACAGAGCGGATAACCTACTCCTGAAAGAAGGCCACTCTTAAAAGCAAGCTCCAAAAGGTTAAAACTGAACCAAAATAACTTAACTTTCCGCCAGAGAAAATATAACATTTTTTTAAAGGGAGATAAAACAATATAAACCCATCAGTGTCGACCTCATAAAGTCCCACATCTAACAAAAAATTACTAGGCAGGACAAGAAGCAAGAAAAGGAAACCTCACAACAAGGAGATAAACCAGTCAATAGAACCAGATCTAGAGATGACAGCAATGATGGGATTACAGACAAGTATGTTAACACATCTGTCACATTTTCAAATATTTAAAGGAAAGCATGAATAGAAGGAAAGAAACGGAAGACAAAAATGAACCAAATGAAACTTCTAGTTATAAAAAACTACAATATCTGAAATGAAAATCTCAATGTATGGGGTTAGTGAGCAGATAAGGCACCGCAAAATCCACGACTTGAAAAAATAATAAAGCGGCAGAAAGTATCTGAAATAAAACTTGGAAAAGACAAAGGCTGGAAAAAAATTGAGTCTGAATGGCTGACACTTGCCAACGCCAACTTATGCTGTGACTTTAGTGAGTTTTCTTTGTATTCATTCCGTTTAGGGTTTAGTGAACTTCTTGGACCTGTTGTTTGAAAATACATGAAAGAAAACTGGATACAAATGTGAAGAGAAATCAACAAATCCATGACTGTAGCAGAAAATTTTAGTGCCTCTCGCTTGCTAATTATTGAAAAGTACCATGGACTGCTGAAAGGACAGCCTGATCTGTCTTGAAAGAAGCCTGGCCAGGGTGCTCCTTAGAGTGAGGATGGCGGGACTTCACCTTACACACGTTGGACATGGTGTCTGCAGAGACCAGTCCCTGGAGAAGGACATCCTGCTTGGTCAAGTGGAGGAGCAGTGAAAAAGAGGAAGGCCCTCCAGGAGATGGACGGACACCGTGGCTGCACCAATGGGCTCAAGCATGGGCTCAACCATTGTGGATGGTGCAGGACAGGGCAGTGTTTCCTTCTGTTGGCCACAGGGTCGCTGTGGGTTGGAATGTATTAGGTGGCACTGAACAACAGCAGCAACAAGTCTTACTAATTGACAGAATACAGGAACTCTGTAATGGCACAGAAGACTAAACACTCTCAATCGATAAGAATAGGACAAAATGTGCATGGATTTTTTAATGGACGATGGATTTGCTCTGTAAACCTTCACCCGCTTTACAACAGAAAGTGAGAAACATCAAAAAGAAATGGGAAAGAGAGATAAGGATATACAATGAAGATTTGGATAAATAATCCCTAAAAAATCTTCCAAATGTGTTGAGAACAACAAACCCATAGAGCCAAGGGCCTCAACAAATTCAAACGGGATAAACACAAATAATCCCACACCAACACTCCTCATCATCAAATCCCAGGGAAGAATCTGAAAAGCAATCAGAGAGCGAAAGGGACCCAGGGAGCCACAACGTTAATTTTCCTCTCATCAGAAATGAGGCACCCCAGAGGCTATTAGAATATCTTTACAGTTGTGACCAAACAAACAAATAAAACAAATGACAACCCAGGACTCTACAAAATAATAATGAAAAAGTCTTTCAAAATAAAGACTTTTCGGGAGTGGGGGAAGGGTGGCAGTCAGAGAATCCAGCTTTTGAATTAGAAATGTCTGCACTACAGGAGGTGGTGCCAATGGTTCAGTGCTTAACCACTAGCAGAAAGGTTGGTGATCCAGTCTCCCAAGTTCCAAAACAACTCCGAAGAAAGGCCAGAGGTCCAACAGAGGCACACAGTTCTCCTGACACACCGGGGTTGGCACGAGTCAGAATCGGCTTAATGGCTATGAGTTTGGCCTAAAAACAGAAAACTAAAAGAAATTCCGAAAGTAAAAAGATGGACGGAAACGAGTCTACATATAGAAGTGCAGCCTAAATGGTGAACCTACAAGTTAAAAGTAAAATAGTTTTTCTCAGTTTTAAATTTCTTTAAATGGAAGACTATGTAGAGCCAACACAAACAAAAACTATGCATTAAGGAGTTTTTAACATACAGAACCAAACTCTCAGTTGCACAGAGACCATGATGCGCAAAGTAGAAGAATATTATTTAAGTTCTTATACTGTGCAGGAAAAGATATAACGTCAGGTGAAGGTGGACTATGATAAAGATGTCAACTGTAAAACCTAGAGGAGTCACTAAAAAACAAAATGAAGCAAGAGCCAAAGGGTGTCCGATGGCTCTGTTGGATCAGCATTGGACTGCTCGTCACAGGTTGGCAGGTCAAACCCACCAAGCATCTCCTTAGGAGAAAGATGAGGCTGTCTGTTCCCATAAACAGTTAGTCTTAGGAACCCTATGAACGGGAATTGACTCAATAGCAGTGGGTTTGGATAGCTTGTAAGTCAGTCTACAGATGAAACAGAATCCTAAAAATTACCCAACTAATCCAAAAGGGGGAAGAAGAAAGGAAACAAAAGACAAAGAAGAGTCTATCAAACAAAAGCAAACACGCGTAAAAAAACAAAACAACCCTCACTGCCATCAAGTCAATTCTGACTCATTGAGACCCGATAGGACAGAGTAGAACTGCCCCTGTGGATTTCTGAAACTGTGCATCTTTATTGGAGTAGGAAGCCTCATATTTCTCCCTCAAAGCAGTGGATGGTTTTGAACTGCTGACCTTGTTATGAGTCCAATGAATGCACAAGCAATCCATCATGTCAACTCACTCGCCGCCATTGTTGAATT